AAACATGGTTGCCATGGCAATTTTGCAATTTTAGATGTGAAATTATAAATTAACGCGTAATTCGTCACCCATTATATTATGCCTGATATGCAATGGTAAGCGCATTCACTGGTGAGGCTTTTAAGTCTAATTTAAAAAGTTTGTTTGATATGTTTGTTTTTTGAGTAAACCGGTAACAACAGCAATAAAATACCCCGGGAAAAAATTGCAGTAATCAGGGCCGCTTGGAGTAAGCAAACAGACAAGTGATGTCAATCAGTCAGATTATGTAAGCCATGAATAAAAATAAAGTACAGGCGCCGGTTTGTACGAACGCTGGATAGCGCTACCCAACGGATATAGAGAATACTTCATGGAAAGTGCTGGCGTACGGTATTTACGCACGAGTTGTTGACGTATCAGAAATCGAACGAGTGAGCGCAGCGAACGAGTAAGATTTCTGATACAAAAACAACGAGTGCGTAAATACCGTACAAAGCACTTTCCATGTGGTATTGTGTTTATTATATACATACTGAGTCATTCATCATTTTGTGGGCCTTTTTATTTTAAATCTTTCAAAAATGCTAAAATTTGCCGCTACACACTTACCGCAAAATGACAACGAAAACGAAGTATCAGCTTTTTAGTAAAAAACGTTTGTTAAAAACATAAATGACGGTGAGGATATGAGGTTTAATCCAAGAACTATAAGTAATCTTAACTGTTTGTTCTCAATGCACAATTGAAAATGAGTGAATTTAAGTAAAATGGCCGGTTTCAATATAAGCTTAAGCTTAAATGAAAGGCAAAGTAGCTCCGACAAAAAGCACAACAAAAGCTTACGTCTCGTTCTGTTTATCCCTTTCCGCTGTTGTTTCACCGGCTCTCTACCGTATTTTTTTATCGACAGTGAAACAAACGAAACTATTCCACTCCATTTCCGAAATGTTTTTCACTTTTTTAGCGAAAAAAACTCCTTGAGTAAAACTTTTCTCGTTGATAAATGTGTGCGAAGCGGCGCTGCAAGCTGCAATAAAAGGCGGGAATTTTGGCGCGAAACTGCTACACCTCTGTGGCTTCTGATTGGACGTATCACTTTTCTCACACGTGAAAAAACATCGTTCGCGATTCTGATTGGACGTATCGTTTTTTTCACGTGTGAAAACCATCGTTCGCTTCTCTGATTGGCTATAACTAATTTGCGTACGAAAATTTACGACATAGCTTTTTGGTGAGTATTTCTCAGTATGTATATAATAAAATCAATTACGCTTTCCACTGGATAGAGATTTATCGAGTGGATACAGGGGTTATCTATCTTTTGAACAGCAGGGGCCAGGTCTGCAAGATGCACAAAATCGTAAGATGTGCGTAAGTGCGATTTTTTTTTGTTCAATAAGTGCAACAATATCGATTGTTGAAACGTGCGATCTTTTTTTTTCTTTTATCAAGTTTCTAGCGGGAATCAACCGGTGGGTCGTGGGTTCGATTCCCCCTGGGGCCTCGGATTTTTTTTCCGAGCTTTTCTTAGTTGTACTTAATATCTATTTGTAATTTTATCAGGCTTAAAATAATTAATTCCGTTTAACTTGTTTCCTCTTTGTAAAGAAAACGGTTACACAGGTTATGATTACACTTACTTGTATTGCTCCTTTTGTGTAGATATTGACGAGTGCGCCCGCGGTACTCACAACTGCCACAGTTCACTTGCTTCATGTACCAACACAGTGGGATCCTTTAGTTGTTCATGTAACAATCCTTACACTGGAAATGGCAGAACTTGCAATCTAGCATCAGGTAATCAACTCGCCGAATATTAGGATGATGTCCATTTACTAGACCTCTATTCGGAGATGGCAAAACTTGCAATAATATTCCATACGGTAATTATTATCACCAAGAATTAGGAATGTGTCTATTCACTAGACTCTTATTTGCACTCGTTAGATGCATGTTACTTTAACCTTGATTGTTTAAAGAGGGTTTCAGTTTAATGCAAATATTACCCAGCTCTTTTGTCGACGAAGCCGAAAGCGAGATCTGGTCAATCACTTTGTCGTTAGACCCTTCTTACTAAAGTGATTTAAATAGAAGCATGGGATTGAGATGGGAAAGGGCCACAAGCTTGTTTCAAAGAAATGAAAGATGATAATTTTTAAGCTCAGAGAAACAAATGTGAAAATGAAATGATCAGCATGTCACAAGCATGGGACAAAGAAAAAATCTGAGTCCCCGACAGAAATCGAACCCATGACCTCCCAAACACCGGGCGGGCGCTCTATCCTCTGAGCTACGGAGAACTCATGGAGGGCGAGGCCATATACTAGGTTCATATTACTATTAATATTAAGAGATCATTCAACTTTGCCTTCCATTTATTTTTTGGGGTTCAGATCTGAGCCAACGTGTCGAATTGAAATCTTGTTTCTTCATTTCTCAATTGTATTCAAAATATTTAATCGTTTCTGATTGTCTCTAGTCCCGCCGCTAAATCCTCATAACCGGCACACGGTTACCATCATTTGGAAGATGTAGCTACTGTCTATTGTCCTTGTCACAATCAAGTACTAATTCTAGGCATTGTACACTGTTCAAACAACGACAGATTTCTTTGGGTTTAAGTAGCTAGCAGAATAGCGTGATATGTTTGATTTTAAGCTACTCAGTTCTTCCCGTGTTTGACCCTTGTACTATACATAGCCATTTAATATAATAATAATAATTTTTTTTTTCACCTCCTGCTACCCAACTTTCACCTCCTTGGCTTTTTGAATTCGCCTCAGTCATTGTTCCTACCCTTCTTCCTCCTTGTCTGCCTTAGTCTTGTATCAATACAACATTTGTCTGTGACGTTTTTTTCGGAAAGCCCATGCACTAATAAGGACACCCGGATTATACGGACACCATGGCATGTCCCTTCTGTTTCCCGTATTACCCGGGTTCCCTTGTAGGTTCTTTTTGGAAAGTAAAATCTATTTTTTCCTGATCCTTTTTTCCGATCTTTTGGTATAGTAGGAAGCAAATCGACAAATCTTCTATCCTCTTATTGATAATAAAAGTCATTACACTGTCAAAGCTTCGCAGTAGTAGATCCATTCACCTGGGGCTGACGTACTCGTAAATCTACGGCAACACTTTGACAATGTTGTGACGAAATTTTTACGACTAAAAACTAAAGCGTCAATGTGATGAATTGAACCAGTTTTTGTGCATAAAATTATATTTAACGTACTATTTCCCTACTTTATATGTAGCAGAGATCACTCATCCATTTGCAGAGCGGTGCGTGTTTTTTATCCCAGTTCGTGTGGGCGGGAGTCAACCGAGCAAAAATGACTACAAAGTGGGGTGAAACCTAAGGGTACTGGGACTTAGTTCGAGTTAGCGGGGAATTCGAGTTATCCGTGCTCGAGTTATCGGGGTTCTACTCAGTGTAAATACTTGGCGTCGAGTTTCCAAAGGGAGTCAGATAAAGCGGATTTTAGGTTATTTCCAATCACAAGAAGACAAAGCTATCAAAATTATTATCATCGCCAAGACTCTCCGCATAAAATATGTCCGTTAGATGGATGTAAAAAAAATTGTCCTGTTGCAGTCTGACAAAGATTTTCTCTTGAAAGCCCAGGCAAAATAAATGACATCGACGAGCAAAATTGATCTCTGGTGCTATAATTGAGTAGTGCAGTAGCCTGCGTATCAGGCGCTTGAGAAATATGGTTTCTAAGCTCTCCATTTCTGGGGGCCAGCGAAACGAACGAGAGAGAACGCGCAAGCGAGCGGCAAAGCAGCCTTTCTGTCGCGTCAGCCTGCGAAAACAGTCGTTTCTCCGCGCTACTAGATCGCCGCTTGTCTGATCTCGCGTCTCTTTTCGTGTGTCGCTAACCGCATGACTTCTCACTCCTCCATGATCCATCGATGTTAAGTTCGTCGTCGATAGTGCACGTTTAGGGTTGTTCAGCTCCGCAAATATTCTCCAAATAGCAGATGTCTCCCTTCGAGTTGTCTTCTTGCGGTTCTTGCCATGTTTTTAGCTATTTTTTCGCCTAGTTCTTACTCTTGAAACGAGTGAAATGTCCGCCTTTTGTTTCAAGTTCACAACCAAAACAACTCAACCTCTTCCCCAGGTCTTCTCGGTTAACTGTGCATTAACCTGCAAGAACACTGCATTTTTGACGTCATTTCCTCGCTAAACACCAAACTCTTCCAAATTTGGTCATCAGTAACCGGTTATGGTGAATTAAACGTTTGCTTTCAGCCAATCAGAATCGGGGAAGTATTTTGAATGAATAATAATTCCTTTTAATGACTCTACACTTTTGTATCAAGAGAACAATAACGATTGTTGTTATTGTTGTTGTTTCTTGAAGTTTTGATCATTTGTAACTATTGTCTATTGTATGTCAGAATGTCAAAATTACAGCAGTCTGAACAACGCCGACAGGAATATAAATTATGGAAAGCCCAAGCTTAAGTGTGACCGCGGTATCGGCCCTGGATGGTTTCGTTTTGAAGGTTCCGCCGGCACAAGAATACCAACTTCATGTCCACCTGATCACAGGTGTAACACTGACATACCTGGCTGGATGGATGGTAGCCACCCTACAGTAGCAGATGGTCAGGTCAGCAGGCGGGTGTGTTTTCTCTGGTATAGCGACTGCTGTCACTGGCCAGGAAACATCAGAGTGAGAAACTGTAGTTCATATTATGTGTACTATCTTAATGGTACACCCACTTGTAATCTCCGTTATTGTGGCACTAACTAAAAAAACAAGATGCAAGTAAAGTAACACATATTCTATCATTTCACTTAAGTAGGCTTTATTGTATTAAACAAAGGAATTACTGCACTTGACTTCAAAAATTTCTATAACTTAAGCAAAGGGAGAAAAAAAAATCATGAGGTAGCACAACGTACTACTCGCGTTAGCTGAGCAAGAACAGTTTTCTTGAAACTAAAAATAAGGATAAATAGTCTTTTAAGCCGTTTTAAAGATCAAGTAAGAAATAAATAGTGGTAATAGAACTCACCAGGAAGTCAAACTAGGTAAAATAATACCTTATAAAATTAGCAATGCAGTTTTTTGTGTCACTTGTCACGATAAATATACACTGGGTCCAAGAACGCCATGCAGTTGTTAAATAAACTACGATGGACAGATGTTTTAACTTAGAAGATGTGCAGAGAAGGGCGGGGTATGAATCTGCTTACTTGTTTTTATATTGATCGGTATTTTAAGGGATGCACTCTGTAAAATCGGAAACAAAATGCATAACGACTATAGGTACAGTCAACTCTCGCACTATATGTTGAGGCAATTTTTGGATTAGGATTGGAGCCTCTTTGAGAAATAAACGTACAGTTTAGTGAAATACCTGTCACATGCGTGTGTTTTTATTGAGTGATGACAAGGTTATTTCCACGTTAACGTCACTTTCCAGTACTTACTACCACAATCCTGTAAACCCCAGATTAATTCATAAAGCTTTCTACCGATTGAGCTAAATCCAGGCCAGACGGTGGAGTTTTACTGTGTGAATCCAGCGTGCAAGTCGCGTAGCACTCTTGCGAAGGAAATGAAACGTCAATCGTATACTTGCACGGCCGTGCTGAAAGTGAGAAATGCAAAGAATCGAATCTAGAAAGAAAATTGAGATTAACCAGGGTCAACTAGGAATCAAAGAAAAAAATTTTGACCCCGGCGAAATTTAAACAGGCTGTCCTACTAAGAATGACAGCCTGCTCTCTCCGGGACTCCATTACAGATCTCCCGTCGTTAGCCGTTTTGGGAACTTCATGTTAGGGACAAACAGCAGCACAAACGTCACGCGTCACCTCATATTGCAGGTAAATCCTTTCCTGGTAACGTGAGTTTGGGCGGCCTGTGGAGACAGAGGATCCAACCATTCAACACTCGACTGACTTACTCTAAAGTTAACAGCAAATGCCTCTGAGAGAATTGATTTTGGATTAAAACTGGTCGTATAAAACGCCTATGTCACACAAAGTGAATATGTGATCGGCGCAGCCTCTTCCTCGGTGGAAACCTTCCTGTTTTTCTCTTAGTCTGTTCTAAATCGCCTCATCGATTCGTCCCAGTAAGACCCTGCAGACACTTAAAGATTATCTTTCACAGGATTAAAAATGTAATCCCTCTCACAGTTGTGTAAAATTCTAGTCATATTTCTCTAAGGCAACAACGTTAACAACTTAACAATACGAAATGTAAATCCACAAGATGCCATGCTGAATTCATTACATTTGCTATTATTCTGGGAAGCGCATAAAAAAAGGAAACAACAGGCGACGGGTCTTGTAACTTGCCAGCAACAGAACGTCTATTATTTTGACACGTTGGTCGAAGAAAAGACCCTTATTGATTACGGCTATCAATGTACAGCTGAATGTAAAATTTAATAGTTGGAAAAGATAACCTTTTGTGAAAAAAAAAATAATAATAATAAAAAAATAAATTATCGGTAATAGTACAGTGGACTGGGAATGGGAATAACTCTGTAAGGTGTATCAGATAAAAGAAAAAGCTTGTGTATTTCGACAGTAAATTGGCGATGCCTGCATCTGGTATCAACGGCGAAAAAAGAACACGGGTTAGATACAGGGAATGTAGCTATGATTTTCAAGGGGAGCCCGACACTCAAAAATGCTTCCGGGCGAAAGTCCTTTTTCCTTGAGGGAAAATAAGAGAGGGGGGAGAAATAGACCAATCAAAAGGAGACTTAATTAAGTGTGTTCTTGTGAGTTTAAACGTTTTACATTTTTAAGCCACTATAATGTGATTTGAAAATGAAATCATTAAACACAATTATATCCCTTTTAAGTAAATCAGTGCTTTACTTCTCCCTTTACTGTCAACGCAACAGAAATAATGACTTTAAGCGAACACAATGGAGACATTATTTTCAAGAAAGGAAGTACTGCTTTAGTTAAAGCAACTATGTCGGGAGAGCAACACGTCCCACCTGTCCTCTGCGCAATTTTGCTGCAGCTATGCTTCTAACACAAACTAAGAAGTCATGGTACATCTACCTTTTAGAAGATGTTGTGTTTATTTATTGTACTCTCAGCATCAACACATTTCATAAAGTGCTGATAATTTTTGTCATTTTTCTACACCGGCTGAATTGCAAGTTTCGTTGTAAAGAAGAAAGAAAGATATTGGGTGGGGTACGTGTGGACATTACGCTCCCCGGTTTAACAGTATGCATATTGAATACACCAAATACTATGGTTCAGAGCTAACGCTGCCCAAATATATAAAGGGTCATCATTAGAACCCAGTTCCGTTTCATCTAGGGTGAAAGCATCGCCTTAGTCTTTACCTTGTTGTTGATATGCAAAAGCAGGTTAATCGGCCTATGACAAAACCATTTATAATGTCTTTTCCTTCTGAAAGATATGGATAATTAGCAGAATGCACATACAAACCATCAATGATTACAGAAACACTCTCTTGTAGATGGGAAAAGAGGGTTCATTGTATACGTCTAAGTTGAACTGTGTTTCTCGGATTATGGTACTGACATCAGCACTAGGACCGGAGTGGAAGGAGGATTCACCTCTGCCTTACCTCACTCCAAAGTTCACAGCAAATGCAGATCAACATATTGTGAAGAATGATATCAGGGATTTTAAGATACCGAATAGGCGACGGCGGCGAAAACGTCACTTAAAAAGTGATTTTAATTACATTCTTTGACACTTCTGGGCGATTATTCCAATTTGCTATAAACTCTGCGAAATGTACACGAACTCTCTTGAACACGAATACCTCAGAAAAATATCCAAGGGCAAAGAGAGTGAGAGAGAGAAATTCGTCTTCTTTTGTTTGCGTTCTCGATAAAACGGGAAATTAGGCTGTATGGCGCGTCGTAGCCATGCATTGCTGGCAAAGAACTCTGCAGAAAAGCTAAGTATGCTGCGCGTGCAAAGTTGTTGTGGGCTCAAGGCCCAGGTAACCCAAAGTGAATGAACGGCGCGGCCCTATCCTCCGTGGAAAAACCTTCCGGTTTCTCTGCTAGCTTACTGCAAATCTTTTCATCGATTTGTCACAGTAAAGCCTGGTTTCCATATGATCGCTTCAGCGATCGCAGCGACAACAATCGCTAAGATAGAACTTTTTCTACTCTCAGCGATCGTTGTCGCTGCGATCCGCGCTGCGATCGCTGGAGAGTGGTTTCCATTATGATTGCTGAACCTTCTTTTTTTTTCACAGTGATCGTAGTGATCACAGCGATCATAGCGATCAGGCCTAAGACAGATACCTATACTACACTTACAAGCGATCTTTCTTTGGATCGAAAATGTGATGCCTCTCAGAGTTGGGTGTTAAGGACGTAAAATGCTAGTCACAATAAATGTGTAGATCGAAGCTGATTATCCAAGGCAACAACTACAACAATCAAGAGAAAATGTAAATCCACAAAGAGACTTCCAGGATGCTATGATGAATTCATTACTTCGCATTTCTTCACTAGAAAACCGTATTAATCAAGGGCCTTTTATTTGCATTTAAAAAAAAAAACAAAAACAGTCGACAGTCTTGGGAGCTGCAATACTTTCTAGCTGTCAATACTTAAAGAAGGAGAACTCTTATCTTGACAAATCGGGCGAGCAAAGAGAGCCTTGACAAAAGGTGTTAAATGAATGTAACATTTAAAATAGTTGGAAAAGTTGTTTGTAAAAGCAATGAAAAAGGTATAGAAAATCCTTATACGCTCTATAATCTTTTTGGCCTGAAATATATAATGACGCAGTGGAAGACTTTTTTTGTCGTTCGCACTCGGACTGGGAACATAATTCTAAGCGACATGTTAGGTCAAAGATAAAAAGAGTAATATGCGACAATCGAGAAGAAAACGATGCCTATATTTGTTATCAGCGGCAAAAGAGAGAACGCTGGTCAGAAACAATCTACGCAGAAAACGTCCGGATGTGGACGTCTAGTCTCGTGGGGCCAAAGAAGTGTAAGGGAGGTTAAAAACGATACAAAAGGAGCCTATGGGTGTGTACACCGTACATACATGTACATCTATTGTTCTTACATTTTGAAAACACTTTTTTGCAGTGTGATACGAAAATGATTTTCTTGACTGACACAATTTTCCAAAGAATGTTCGTCCCCATAGATCCCCGACCTTTTAAGGACAATGATAACTTATGTCCATTTTAGGTTATAGAGTGCTTCATGTCCCCTTTAATTAACTGTCAAAGCAACAGAAATGATTCCTTAAAGTGAACACAATGCAAATATCATTTACAAGAGAGTAAGTATTTTTCAGTTAAAGCAAGATGGTGGAACAGCGACATCTCCCGCTTGTCCTGTATGCCATTGTGATTTTAACGCTAGCTGTCCTTTTTTCGCAAGGGACTCAAGGTAGTGAAAGTATCTTGTGTTTATATAAATGCTATTTACGGATATAAATATCAAAGTGTCCATAATTCTTGGCGATCTCTTGCGTCATACTAAACGTTTCATTTCAAGGGAGGAAGAACTGCAAAGATTGGGGTGGGGCGCATAAGAAAATCTTTATTCCAAGCACTTCAAAGAATCTTACGCTCAATGCGTTTGATCATACAATGAATCCCCCGATATCATTGTTAAGAGTTAACGTTAGTTTATAAATGTTTTCTCTTACAGCAGTCAGTTTCAAATCTGGAAATATCGATAATATCACTGCCCTGACTGGCGCAGGGTTGTTTGCTTGTGAAAAAATCACGTTTGCAGAACCATTCCCCAGTGGAAAG